TGCTGTAGTCGAACGGTGAGACGGACGTGTAGTTCAGTTTTGGGCACGCGTACGGTGCTGCAGGGATTATATATAGGTGTAGTAGTACCTCTTCGGGCTCTTGGATACCTTTTTCTTGCTACGTGTGCGTGTTCTTTAGATCCTCAGATGGCTCTAGCACTTTCGTGACCACGGGCTGAGAGTCTTTGCTAGATTTTGGCATTTAGCAACTGGCATACGGTTTAATGTGAAGTCAACAACAACAAACAAAACAGGGTGCATGCCTGCGGCTGGTCGTATCTTTTTAGGTGATCCTGTATGCTGTTACTTCGTCAATTTTTGAATTTTTCACTTCCTTTTCAAAATACCTCGTACAATATCAGGAGTACAGAATCTACGGCGTAAGAGGAGAATTTCAAGATCATCGTTCGTTCGTATTGACCGCTGTGCTGCTGTACGTAAACGACCATAGTGACAACGAGAACGGTTTCGCTTTTCGGAGACAATACATCTGAAACTTCGCTCAACCCGCAAGACAATGGGCACGATGGGAGACAACACGTTCAACGAAATGCATCTCACTCACACGCTCCATTGTTGTCGATGAAGGACAAAGACGGTGTTGTCCGTGTAGTGCCTGATGCCGACTGGCAAAGACTGCTGCTGCTGCCTGATGTGCTGTAAGGCAAACACGACCCCACCCCCCCCTCCCCATCTGCAGATGGTCTAGCCGTCGTGCCCCCAACCGTGCCGACCCTTCTTGTCGTTACCTGTCTGTCCACCTGCGCCTCTGCCTTACCTTGGCTGCATCCAGTGCACACAAACTACATATTCGGTCAGAGGGTGTGAGGTTTGTCTCTAACGGCGGAAGGAAGCCGTAGAAGGACATGCACGAAACCAGACAGTGGCCAAAATGGAGAAGATCACCACCTTCCACTCCCGTTGACGGGATTGACGGGATCCCGCTTGCGGAAATACGTCCCAGAGGTTAGTGGGGCCTGGAATGTACAAAATGGCCAGCGTGTTGGTTGGCACTTGTCTGTTGATTTACTTCAAATCATGGTCACGTTGGTGGAAGATCCTCCATGTATGGAAGGGGTTCAACGAACTGGTACAGGTTAGTCGTACAGACTAATAGTCTGTACATGTACAATACAGCGGCAGCAGTAGTAGTCTGGGCGAAGCGCCCGGCGCGGAGAATTAGCCCATCTGTACAGCAGTTGGTTGGCAGGTACAGCAGCAGTATCTCCTACACAGTCTGAAAAGGTACTACGGCACCCCATCTTGTACAGGTTACATTTGCATCCGTATATTCACTACTCTCGTGAGTCGTCTGCCTAGACTAGATATTGGGTGTGTACAAAGGAGGCAACCCCTAGAGTAAGACCTCGGCTGACTGTGATTCAACATCCTGCATTGTTCCATGTAGAATGCCACGCTCTTGACTATGGCACTTAGGCTAGCCCGCAGAACAGTTGACACTAGGAAGCTATGACTTCGGTGCTGTGAGCCTAGACTGCTTGCAGTATCACAACCATCAATTCACGCCGCATACCAACACCGACACACGTTGACATCTTGTTGTTTCCGCTGTCTCCCACGGGCCTGCAGGTGCCGTCGGCAACGGGACGCAGCTCGTGACCGCGCACCCAGCACCACGGGATCCCCATCCACCTCCAGCCGAAGGCGGTGGTAGATGCCCTACTCCCGCTTCAATTTCCACTGCTTCCTCCACAAATGGACAAAATGATGCTGACACAGACCGCCCGCCACCCGCCCTCTCCTCTCCCTCCTCCTCCTCCTCCTCTTCCTCCACTTCCTCCTCCCCTACCCCGTCACCGTTTCCGCGTCAAAGCGACCGCAACAACTCCTATTTCCCGGGTAACGACGATGGTATGCCCCTGTCAACGATGGCAAAGAAGCCTCCGCCACCACCACCTACCCGCCAGGACGAGGACCTTCAACCCCTACCCTCTGCTCTAGGAGCAATATCGGTAGACCGCCCACAAACAGAGAGCGAGCAGCAGCCGCAGTCGCAGCCAATGAGGTGGCGACAATCTATGGATCAAGGCCGAAGCTTTGGACTGGGAGGAGGAGTACGAGCACCTGCGGCTGCTGCGGCAAGTAAGACGGGAGAGTACATGCGGGGGATGGCAGCCGAGGCACGCGCCTGGAGCGCCAGAGCACTCGCTGGGGCTGCGAGTGTTGACAGTAGTGGCGGTAGCTGGACTCGAGGCGATCCTGTCGATCCCGTGACCATGTTGCTGCCAGACTCTGCTTCCGCGGAGCGGGTGGGAGGACCCTCAGGAAGAGGGCCATTGTTGCGAAGACTTCAGACTACTGTGTACGGTAAGATACTGGTGGGTATGGCATACTGCAACGACTTGACATTTAGCGTTGATCGCGTGTGAGGTCGGTGCACAGGTCATTCCGTAGACGAAGCTTGGCGGTATTTGAGACGAGAAGGACTAGAAATATTAGCCATTCAGGTGGGAACGAACGAGTCATCGCACGCCTCGCAATACGGGAAGATCCCTCCCCCCGGCAACGTGCAAGTCTCTCCGTCTGCTTCTTCGAATTCCGGTCGTTTGCTCCCTTCCCCCCGAACCCTTCTTTGTGTGCGCGCCGAAATCCGTCCAGGCATGCTCGATGACTTCGTGGTGGTAACTATCTCTCGTCCGGGGCCTCTGTATGTGCGCCTCAAACCTGATTCTCGAGGCCTCGTGATCGTTAACAACTTCGACGTGGTACCTGACGATCCACACACTAGCTGCCCACGACTGGGACCCCTTGAGAGTGTGGGCACTGTGATTCCTGGAGACGCGTTGGTGAGTTTTACATGCCAGTTAGTACGGGTGGTTGTGGTGGGTGGTGGCAGCTGCTTGTCTGTGTCCACAATTTGTGTTGACGTTGATGTTAGTGTTGGGGTAGTATCGCACGGTTTTTCTGGCGCTCATCCCCCTCTTCGGCTTCGATCTGCTCCTGCTTCATTCTGGCAGGCCTCTGTTAATCGAGAGGTGCTGTTGGGACGCCCGTTTTCGGAGTGCGTCAGGTGCATCAAAGAGGCATCCTCAAGTACGTGACAAAATATGTAGTGACCATCGATAGCTAACTGAACGCTGTAGTTCCTCGACGTTTATGAACTTTGTAGTCATTAATCCTTGCTCGAGACCAACTTATGGCGGGTTCTGCACTCGCCTTTCAGGTGCGACGGCAGCTCGCCCGTGCGTGCTGTGCTTCCGGAGAGCGGATCCGGAGTGCTTGGGAGCAAACCTTGGATCGCCCCCCAGAAAACTTGAGCAGGTGCGGGTGGTCTTTGGCGATGGGTCTTCACGTGGCATGTCACCTACTGGTTTTAATCGGATATAGCGATACCGTTGTCGAATGAAGGGAGTATTTTCCCCGCGAAAGTACATCGATCCGGCTGCTACATACATACGTTTACTTCCGATTCATGTACGGACGCGGGCGGTAGCCCTTCCGTTCAAGCACCCGGAAATTGATGGCACGTCGTCCCGTTCTCTTTGTACCTCATACTACAATGTGTGCGCGGACTTCGAACCGCTCAGGAGAAGTTCCGATCGTTAGAACGGCTGTTGGAAGGAGGTGAAGGAGGCGTGATGGATGAAGCGAAGCTTCGGGGGATTACATCAACGGGTGTGCCCGACCATGGGGGGTTGCGGCCGGTTTTGTGGAGACTCCTTCTCCGGTGTCTACCTCCCAATCGGCCTCAGTGGTCAGCGCACTTGGAAACGCAACGGGCGCTGTACGCGCGGTTTGTCGACGATCTAGTCTTAAAACCGGCGAAGATTGTTACACAAGGTGGTGCCGACAGTCGAAGCGAGGAGGCGAGCACAGCAGTACTAGCGTCACCGAGCGCAAGTCGGGATGGCGACAAGGCAAGCAGTGCCGCTGACCAATTGGTAGACGCTTCGAGTGGCCGAGGGGCGCCGCATCCGCATGGGAAGTCTGGAGGAAGCAACGGAACAGCCTCAAGCTTCACAACGTCGGAGAAATCTCCTCGAGAGGAAAAGGAGGCCAATGATCCCGTCCTCGAGGGACAGAGCAATGAGCAAGACGTTGCTAAAGTCGAAGTAATCGAGCAAAACAGGATTCCGTCAGCGACGAAGCCGAGCCCCCAGCCTGGCGGTAGCGAACACTTTCCGGGCGAGCTGCGCCTGAATCGAAAGTTAACAACGGGACCGGTGGACGATGACCCTCTGAGTAACAAAGACACAAGCGAGTGGGCCGCGCTTTGGTCTGACAAGGAGTTGATGGAAGCCATCGATCAGGACATAGTTCGCACAATGCCAGACCTTGCCTTCTACGCCTGCCGGAGCATCGAAGACAACGATAGCGACATGGTTGGCAGTAGCGCTAGTGGTGAAGGTGGCAGCGGTGACAGCTCGAAGGGCGAGCAGCAGCGACGAGGACAAGAGAGGCGAGAGGCACTCGCCCGTATTCTGTTCGTGCACGCCAAGCTGAACCCCGCCGAAAGCTACACTCAGGGTATGAATGAGATCGTGGCCACCCTCTACTTTGTTTTGGCCAGCGACGAGAACGAAGAATGGAATCGACATTGCGAAGCAGATACGTTCTTTTGCTTCACCAACCTCATGTCGGAGATCCGGGATGTCTTTTTGGCCTCCATGGACGAAAGCGAGAGTGGCCTCCACGGGAAAATGGAGGCTTTCTCGCGGACTCTTCGGCAACACGATCCGGAACTCGCAGAACACATGGTGAGCATGTGAACCTAGGCTTGTGCCGCCGACCTTTTTTCGTTTAGTTGACATGAAGGCATCGATGCGCATCGTACGCTGCAAGCACATTGTGTAAGTGTTATGGGATTTGGAGGTAGACATATGAGCGTGCTTGACCATGGTGATTTGGCGTCGTCAGATGCTATGACTTGACGTCATGCAAGATTTGAGATTTATGCCGAAGCATGTGCCCTTCTGTTCAGTGTGCGTACGATCATGTGATTGTGTGTGTTTGGGATCTGTGTGAATTGGCTTGGAAAAGCATTCATCAAGAGATGAGAACAACGGAAAGCAGCAACAACCTAGACCTGTAGAGTTCCACACAGCTTTAGGTTGATTGATTCTGCAGGAAGGGGTCAATTCCCACATCACAAGCTGTGCACCATTCATTTTGTTGTTCGGGTGAAAGAACGCAAGCTAATGTTTTCTTTGGGTGGCAGTTGGCCTCGAGTTGATCGCATCGTCGCTCCCGGCTGACATGTTGGAATGCGATATCATTGTTGCGGGAGCAAGTTTTCGCTGGTAGTTGCTTTGATAGGAAGAGCGCGTTGCTTCAGTACTCCACAATACGGATGTTTGACCGTCCCGCCCATTTCTCTCTATACTTTTGAGTGCCCGACACCGGAAGTGTGCGCCGAGGTTGACTGCTTGGCTTGCCCCTTTGGCGTAACGAAACAATGTCTTGATCGCGTGTCATGTCTCGTCGTTGTGCGACAATACACCTGCAGGTGAGCCTGGCGTTGGACCCTCGCTACTTTGCGCTCAGGTGGTTCACCACCCTTCTCAGCCGAGAGTTCGATCTTCCAGATACCATCCGGCTGTGGGATTCGTTGTTCGCTGCCCAAGATCGCTCGACCTTCCTCGTGTTCGTGTTCGTCACCTT